CAGATTGACGGTAATTTGATTCATTGGTCCAAACAAAGAAAGCAAGATTAGTCGACACGGCAGCGGAATACACTCTAAAAGTTTCTCGGCCGCTGCTAGAGCCAAAAAAGAAAGCGATAAGAACTGATAAAAGAGAACAATCACCTCTCCCCTAGAGTATAATTGCAGCATTTTAAATGGAAGCATGATTTTACCGATTGTGGAATTCCAGCTCTTTTCCGGCATTCGTATAAATAAATATTGTTCGGTCGAGCGAATCTCGAAGCTTTCGCATTCAGGTACATGGCACTTCAGATGTCCGTGGTCGAGCGGTGATCAGACTACGAAAGTTTTAAGAGGATACATTATGGACGGACTGACTTTTCACTGAGAATCGGTCCAAGGCCCTTCGTTGAGCCCTAAGTAACAGTTATATACCAACGACGTCTATCAGGCTTTCGCCGCACATATAAACGTGAGCACCAAGTAGTCACTGTCAGCACTTGACGCATCGTCGGTCGTATCTCACCATGACATCATCTCTGCCTCTCCGACCTTAGAGCTAGAGCACACGAAATAGTACATTTGACCTTGGAGAAAATCCCGCTGATCATGAATCACCCTCCATCCCTTACCCAATAAGTTCAAGTTCAATAGATTAGTAGATTCAGGAGGGTGTCACCATCTCAATCACAAGATACCGCCTGTGTTAGCGCAGACCACCAACAGACTGACAACAGTGAAAAAGCGGGTGCTCTTCCACCTAGAGTTACTGTAATTGGCGGCATAAGTCTTTCCGATAATGCGCTATCTGTTCTAAATCTCGGTCCCAGTTTTGCACCGAGTAATCGGATAGGCCATGGGTTTCGCTAAAAATCCTGGGAGCCTTGCAAGCTCTTCGAGACAATCTTCGCCTCAAGGCCAAACTGCAGGAAAACGGCTCACAATCCATGATACCATCACGTTTTCCCGCGATGCCATTCCCCTCCCTTTTCTTCAGATCCCTGAGACCCCAATCCCTCGGTGGATGTCAAGTTTCGGCTGTTCGCGACCTCCATATTCTCCATGCTTATTGTTAGTCGCAACAGATCGATAAGACCACCTCCAAATATCACAGCTGCGCAAAAACGCAGACCACCTCCAAATCTCACAGCTGCGCAAAAACGCGGGCTCCAAGAACTGAGGGATCTCACACACTCCAATCGCGTCAAATATCCGTCAGCGATAAAGGAGGTGAGTTCGTGGTATTGCCTCGAGATCTTGATATTGCCATAACAAAATTGCACCTCCGAGATGAAAGTCTTTACCGGCCATCATCTGAGGAGGAATACAAAAGGCAATATCGCAGGCTAAACAGGGTGTGGGTCGATATAGCAAAGGCTGTGCAGCTGTCAAGAAGGTAGGTACACGACTAAAATATGTGATCTACCAACCTGCCCAGTCCTCTATGTCCTCATCAAGACTCATAAGCTACAGCAGACCACCCTGTCTTCCACGAATCCCTCGGACTTCAAGGTACGCCCGATAATAAGTAGTGTAGGGGGCCCACCGACAGGATATCGTGGCTGTTGAATCTTGTACTGGTGCAACTGTTGCCTTTCATCCCTGCCCACCTCAGTAATGCCAACAACTTCTTTGAGAAGTTACGGGTGGCCAGGTTTAGAAGGAACCATGTCATGGAATCGTTTGACGTTACGTCACTCTACACCAACGTGTCAAACGAGGGCGCCATGCAGGCCACCTTTGAACTGCTTCGTGAACATGAGCAATCGATAAACATGTACGGCTTTCGGCCATCCACGTAATGACAGTTGAAAAAGAGTGTCTTGACTGCTCTATTTTCACTTGGTCAGGGCAGTACTACAGGCAGAT